TTTCTCTGGCCTGTTTGCCACTGAAATGTCGCTTAGACTAGGTCATCTATTGATTGACAGTGACCATCGCGTGAACTTCTATCTCCCCTCGGTTTAATAGAAAATGACACTCGCTGTCCAAACTCTTCTTTAGTATTTTATCAGTCAATATTTGAAGCAAAAATTAAATAAAAATTAAAGCTATGTAGATTACTAGTTTATAATTAGGCTATTTAGCTTCTGCAGCTAGTTATAATAATTTTTTTCTTCACAATTATATCTTAGTATTTTATATCCTATATTTCGAAAGTGTTGGTACGTCTGAGCATACTGTTAAATATTATTAATAATAACAGCCTTATTCATTAGTGTTCATAAAGGTTATTCATATAATATAAATATTAATAAATTTATTCTAGAAATATACATATTTAATATGCAATGTAAAAGTAAGTTTTCCCTTCTATATGAAATATCTTTTCTCATTTTAATCAGTGATCCATTTATTGTCTTCTAGTATTGATATGACGGTAAGTCAAGACTGAGATCGACCTTCGATTCCCTTGTTCATCGTGGTAGGTGATCATTAAGTCTTAGGCAAATGACCTCGATAAATAATCGAGATGCGAATGCCATTTGCATCTTCATTATGCATACATATGTGACTGGCGTCTTTTCACTTAATCAATTACGTCCGTTTCTAAATACGCTAGTGAAAATAATGGTTACGTGAAAGTTTTCTAAGTCTGTTCATTTCTCATCGGAAATACGAATCTAATATACATATACTTGTTTTTAGCGAAGAAATTTCACTTCGTCAGTTGTATTTAAACAACAAATTGTGAAGCGTGACTGTGTGGAAAATATATTTATTTATTATATGACATATACAGAAATGGTGCGTTGGATTTCTGCCAGGAAATAACACTGCAACGCGCCTAAATAACTTATACACACCGAACGCAATCAAAATAAAGGAAAGAACGATTATATATACTATACTCGATTAGTATTAAAATTTAATTCGAATCCTCAACACAGAGATTATTACATCGCGCGGAATCCGTTTTTTAAAAATGGAACAGTGACCATTATTCATATGCACGAGAACGGAAATAATGGCTTCTGTAGTCACGAGCGACTAGAAATGCAAGTTAGCGAGAGGCCAAGCTTTGACACAGTTTAACGGTGAGACGTCTGTGCGTTAAGCCTTTCGTTTAGCCACATACCACTGCTGCGTGGGCCAACACGGGACAATGCGTGCGCCTCAATGTAAATGCTCATTGAATATTCATTCGCACCCGCTTGCCACCCGCCAATACTTGCACAACCTTGTGTTTATTCGGTCGCGTGACGTCACTGTCACGAGATATAATTGTACGTATACTTCCGCTAATACGTTCAGAACAATTTAAGAGTTTTATTTCGTTCTCGCGAAAACTAATGATTGCTAATTAAAATCTTAGTAACCGGTAAAGCTGACTTCTTAAATAACAGCTCGTTTGGCAAGCAGAAGATCAGTTCGACCGGGGAAGTCCATGTTTACTTCTTTTTTTTTCTGCCCGCGGCTTTGCACGCGTTGAAGCCCTTAAATAAATATCTATACCCTTTAAGAACCGTTTTTAAAATTAAAAATAGCCTATGTCCTTTATCAGGCTCTAGACTATCTGTGTGCCAAATTTCATGTAAATCGGTACAGTAGTTTTGACGTGAAAGCGAGACAGACAGAGTTCCCTTCGCATTTATAATATTAGTATGGAAGTATGGATATGGATTAATCTAAATTACTTTATACCATAAACATAAACATTTATTAAGGTAATTACAATTAAGTGATGTTTGTATTCATTAGACTGAGTATAATACAGGTTTCAATAAAATGCAGTGGCACCAACATTCATTTTATGTAAGATAAATTTCTTGATAATAGTTTTCGCAATCATTACTTTCACATTCCGTAAGCAAGTGTTGCACATCTCCAATCTTGTTACCGGTGGACGTAAACTATAATTATATGCTTCTGCTTTCTATGTGGTGAGAGGCTCACACTCAGTGCTGGGCGCTAGACCTGAAAAGTTTCTGCTCTGAGCGTCCATGAGACCCACACTTGAGGTCGGATGAATCGTTTCCATGGTTTTTATCTTTCTAAAATAAAAGAAACAAACTCTACTTAAACGTTTCGTACTAATACCGTCAATACAAGCAATCTTCCTTAATACGTCAAGATATACGACCCCCTGATATTGAATTTCTGCGTCAGAGGTTGTGGATTTTCCCCACTACTGGAAATAAAATTGTGTGATGAACGTGTTTTTGCAGTATCTAGTTGTTTACATATCTTTAATAAAGTTATGAAAAATATTTTAAATAGTGGATTTCATCGTCAGTGTAGAGACTAGCACTAAAATAAAAATTAATCCTTGAAAACCTGAAAAATGCTTTTCATTTATCTAGTATCCACAGTTCAAGGTTTCCTTAGTTTGGGGCTAGATGGCGTTGTTTAAAAATGTGTCCTGATATATTTATACTTCTAGATTTATTACATTACGTTTGCGTACTTAACGTTGTCATAGTTTTTTTTTTATAAAAAATAGCGTTTACTTTAGGATGCCATATGTTTTACAAACATAAATTGCACGAGGACAAACAGTCACACAAATAGTTGTCCCGTGTGAGAATCGGAACCCACGACACCCGACGCCGAAGACAATACCTTGGTTACTGCGCCACGGAGTCATCAAAGTTTAAATTTGCTAAGACAAAAGACCGACTGAAGTTTTGGTTTCATCCACGAATATATTGTAGCTCGTGTCGTGCCGCCACTGCGGGTATAAAGGGTAATAAAAAGTAATGCCTTAAATGTATGTTCTTTGAACAGTATTTAACAATATAATTAACCTTCATACATTCATTCATACACTCAGCTTGATACCTCCGTGACCGAACGTTGCGCTGTTATCGTAGAGACTTGAAATTTGGTAGGAATATTCTTTTCGCCGAGTAGCGGTCAGCTAAGAACCCGTTCCGGATTTTACGAAATTCCACAAAACAACGGTTGCCGGATGAGCTAGTAAGTGTACATAGCATATCCGCCTTGGAATGTGTAGTTAGATCGACGGCTACAAAGTCAATTCACACGACGCCGTTTCCATTCTTCCCGGTTCGTTGTATCGACTGGTATTCACCCGCACTTCTTAGCTGCATGATTCTCCAGCGAACGTGATTGTTATTGCGTGATGCAAGTGCACAGGGGGGGGGGGGGGGGGGGGGGGTTTAATAACGCGAGTCGGATGAGTTGATTTATAAAAATAGTCTTCCTCTTTATTTTTTTTTCTAAATTGTTGGCATTACATATTATATTTAAGTATGACGGACATGTACGTATGTACTTCCCATCGTGTTTTTTGGCATCTTTAGCAATGCCTGATCAGGACTCCTTAAGGCTAGTAACGGGAACGTCATCCTACGCGTACCTAAACCCTGAGGAAATTTTGAGTATGGCGTACTTTAAAAGTCAATTCCATAATTCAATATTCAGGCTTTTTACAAGTTATTATGTGCTCCTAACTGCCGAACACATAAGAACGGTCTATGTTCAAATCAAATCAAAAATATATTTATTCAAATAGACGCTTGCGCGCTCTTATGAATCGTCAAATTTTACATCAAAAATTTTATACATATGTTCGTAAGGTACCATACAGCACTAGTTCTGCTTAATTGTTTGGTCTTTTTATGACTACCGAGTCTGCAATCTGCAAATGCTCTAAGATCATCTCAACTATAAATCTAAAAGAACACCAGTTGTTAACAAGAGTTATTACATATTGTAATTAGTACATTCTTCGTAGACTAGGTAAACAAAATTAAAAACTACAGTATTTTTAACACTTCATAATCATCGTCCATCCCGTGAGCGTGTGCGATGCAGTCTTCCATACGTCGGCCATTTGAGTTTAAATCAAAAGTGATAAAATAGTAAATATTATTATTTAATAACAATAATTTTTAATATTTGCTTAAAGATTACAAAACAATTTTCGTTAAATAGGTGGTATCCCAGATCAAGGATTCGATATCAATTTTCTTAGTGGCTTGCAGTCGTATTGAATGATCGAACTTTATGACTCACTATTCTGGCATTTATTATCGCTAATATATTCCCCAAGCCAGCCGAGGCGGATTTAACAAGGAAATAACAAAAGCTTGCAATGTTCTAAAGAAATCAACGCGAACGTGCTTAATGTGAGGTTTTTTGAAATTATGAAAACATTGTGAAACGTATTTTTCTTAAATGTTATTGAAAAGAAACAATGAAAATATTTTAAACCTGTTCTAAACAATTGTACACCTGATAAGATACTGTAGAAAAAGGCAACAATTTAGTAATGTAACAATTCAGTGTCAACAAATAGTGTGCATTCCATATTATCAATATAGTTGGAAATTATGTGAACTTTACTACTGCTTTAATTTATGAAACGCTTTAATAATTGTTTATTAGAATTTCTTTTAAATACAACGAGTGTTTAAAAGACATTTTAATTTATATACAACTGACGTGGAGTGTTAGTAGTCATGTCACTGCTTAGTTATTTTGTCAATAAGGTTCATCATTCAAACATTATATACATATATTTTTTTTACTGAGACGAAACTAGCAAAGGATACAACGTCCGCGACAAGGATGAAATAAAACTGATAGTTAGTGGGTAATTGTATGCATATATGTTTATGTCATGGTATAAAGTGAATTCCTTTCCCCTATGATATGATCACGTCCCGATCCGTAGAGTAATTTTAAAAAACACTGGCGTGAAGTGGTAGAGTTATACTACGTTTCACCTTCATAAGGTAGCAGGGGCCAAATTTTTTAAAGTGGCAACGTATCGCAAACCCTACGGGCGTTGCAAATGTCCATGGGCGGTGGTAATCGCTTATATCAGGTGAACCGTCTGCTGTCTTGCCATCTTCTTACGCAAAGAAAATTGTCATTTATTGATTGGCGTTTCAATTTTCAGTTGAGATCTACCTGTCACCGGTGGAGACGCACTGCAGCAATGTCGACTACTTCATACCAGACGAGAACAACGAGACGAAAGGATTTTCAGATGACGCGATGAACAGGTAATTGTGCACGTAATACATAGTGATATATGTAAGAGTACTCCACAGTTTGTATAAAGTAAAAATTGAGGTGCTAGGTGCCCTCAGCGCCCGGCCACCTCAAGCCCTGTCTGTGAATCTGTAAAGGCCCCAATGGTTGATCCAGCAAAAAATATAATGTATAAAGATAGTATTTAGATTAAGGCATAGAGTTGTGTGTTTATACTTAATTGTAAGCTTTGATTTGACATAGACGACTACAATTAAAAACCTAAATTACTACTTAACTGGCAATAAATATGTCTATGTGCGGAGTTGATAAATATTGATTGCAGCCTAGAGTTATGGTAAAGAATGTTAATCAGATTAAAATTAAAATGGTCTTCGGAAAATCAAAATGTCGTTTGATTAATAATTTCGGACACAGTTTTACAGAACACTCTCTAGTCCCAAACTAAGCAACGCTTGTACTATCGGTAATAGAAAACTGATAAACATACTTAAACGTACTTTTCTTTTGTAAATAAATACATATTATACATATATTAACACCCAGACACTGGTAAAACACGATGTTCATCACATAATATTTTTTCAGTAGTGGGGATCGAACCCACACCCTCTGGCGCGAGAGGCAGGGTCACTACTTACCCCTTTAGGGGTTATAGAATATTTGCAACCAGTGTTGCAAATGTCGTGGGCGGCGATTATCGCTTAACATCAGTTGACCTGCCAGCCAGTTTGCCACTTTCTCACATTAAAAAAATAGTACCGCTTGGATTCGTTTGTGGCCGTGCTGCTTTCAAAGAGTTGTATATGTCTAATTAAACTTATTCGCAGGTTGCACATGGCGCGGTCGACGGTTGCGCTGTTCATAGTTGCTTTTCTGGTGCTCTTCATCGCTTTCTGGACTGGCGTCGTCGGTTGCTGGAAGCGTAGTCCGGGGAACATCACCGCGACTGCCATACTAATGCTCGTTACTTGTAAGTCTTCTTCTACAATCTTCTGCTTTCTCCTGCCCTTATCCCGACTAGGGTCGGTTCAACATGTGAATCATGTTGTTAGTAATTTTGGTTAGATTTTTACAACCGGACGCCTTATTCTAAAAAAAAAAGCTAAAGCTGCACCTAAAATGCTTTATATTAAAATTTATAACCTCAATACTACAAAAAAAAATTATAAATAAAAACCAAACAACAATTATAAATTATAAATATTTTCTGACAGACTTTGACGATTGTCTCTCCATGTATACGAAAATAAACAATTTAAGGAAACAATATTATCAATCAATAGATCTAAAAGGAAAATTATATGGTAATAAACCAAGAAAAGTAAGTTAAGGGGGAAAAAGAGCAATATATGTTTAATTTAAAAACAATGTATTTACAAGTAAAACTTAAAAGCATCTTTAAAAATAATAAAGTTTACATAGATAGTCTTAGTGATTAGTAATTTACTTCGATGTGGCCATCACGAAATTTCTCTTTTTTTAATGTCACAGTTAACGTGGCAGCGAAAGTGAAACCGAAAATGATTAAAGACAAAAATCTTTCAATGTGAGAGTTATACTCTTAATATTAAACTTCTTTTTTCCCACTTTTACAACACTCTTACTTAATCTAATGGGGAATTTGATGACTTTTTCGCTTTTCATAATTATTTATCTACCGCAATCAATTCGCGCGCAAATACTCCGACGGCTAGTCACGAACGGACCAAGGCGCCATATCGATCGAGATACGCATACGCCTAAGGCCCAACACCTTAAATTACACGCATTGTATTATAATTGACATTCACATCCGCCTTGAAGCGGAGGCTTTTTGAGTTCGTCATTATTTTTTTCTTGTGATGCACAAGAGCTAAATGTCTATATAGCTGCGAATAAAATTGAATAAATTCAGAATGATAATTGTCATGATGGTAGTCTATTGGATGGTGGCACTTATACTACAAGATCGTGGTTTCGATTCCCAAAATGCACAAAAAAAATTAAGGTAAAGTAACAGCATATATATGTTACACTGCTGGACCAACAAAAAGGCCTACCCCGTATAGAGGGTATGGTCCACCACGCGAACTGCGTATAGGCAGACTTCACGTATCTTTCAAATATTTTGCTGTTATTACTTCGAAAACGCAGGTTTCCTCACAATGTTTTCCTTCACAGCTGACCTCATGATAAACAGCACTTAAAATATAATAAATACATTGGTGCCGGCATGGACTTGAACGGAGGTTGCTCAAGTACTCGTATATCGAGGCTCGGACTATCCATCCAAACATATCCAAACAGCCCGAAATCTTAAGTACATTATGATAAAAGTAGATAAATTCACTATGCGCGTTTCATTAACGTTTAATTCGTTCGGATCTCTCTCACTACAGCTATTGTCTGATATTGGTCTCACGTTTGTTACTAGACAAACTTGGTGATACATGGAAACTCGCTTTCCCCGTCTGCCCCAAATGGATTTGAAGACGTGATTGTTCATAGAATTAACTATCGCATGCCCAAAATATTCTTCACATTCTGTTATTATTATTGAGTCGCATCGTCTTGGTTAAAAGTTGGGTCGATTTACTGTGACGTACAACACCTACGTTTACTTACACGTCCAGGGGCGTAAATAGATTCAACATTTAAATAAATCTGGTGTGGTTGATCTGGTGCGCTGCATTGTGCGGCATCGACGTCATAGAGGTCAAAGCAATTATGTATAAACTCCCTGTCAGCTTAATTATTTTATTATATTTCACTTTAACTGATATTTTTCTCTCAGTCCGTAGACTGTTAAAGTTTCATCAAACGCGTAAATCTTCGTCTAGCCAGAACCTACTAGCTTGATACAGCCCTCCGGAACTTGGAAAGGACCGAATGTGTGTTATATTGTGCCTTATAATGTTAGCGTCATAAATTTATGATTAACAATTCATAGTATTGAAATTGGTGTTCTCCGTGCCGTCACTGTGACTGTGATTTAAATTGGGAGCAGTCAATAACTATTGATATGTGAAAGTAAAAAATTCGAGAAATAATGAAAAACTTTTGATAACTATTCTCAAACTCTAAGAGCAAACTAAATTACAATATGTTATTGTCGTCATTTATTGTTTGCTACCTTAAATCGTTACCGAAGCAGCAATCGTTGCAGACATGATTTGATCTAAATTGGATCATAGCCAGTTTTAAGAATAATATGTAATAAGAATAATATGTTGGCATTGCCAGTTCTAATCCTTTTTGGAGCCATAACTCATTTGAATTGCTGCTTAGGTTGGCAAATGATATCCTTTGTAAGTTACCCTTCTAAGTGTTGATATTATCTGATGTTACCGAGGAATGTTAGAATTTTACACATTATCTTCACAATCAATTTAAATAAATAATAAAAGTTAACACTAGCTCGAGCTAATTGGGAAGTTATCATTTTTTATCCAAGACAGTTTTAATCCAATGTTGGATATATCCAGGCCTAAAGGCCTTTCCCGCAGACTGTCATGAAGTTCGGTCCTAAGCCACGCGCTTTCATCGACTTTCCGCATATTTGCACACGTGAGCGGGGTCGTCCCGAACTACGATCGCTATTACGTTGGTGTCACTCAAGAATCTCTCTTCCCCATCGGTTATCGGTTTCTCAAGCTATATGGCCCTCCCATTGCCATTTCAGCTTACGAATCCCCTAAGTTACGTCGGTAACCTATTGTGGGACGTAAAACGGGTTAATTCGGACGTTAATTATAAAATGGCTAAGTCTATCCTATATGTAAGTATTTAGGGTTGCTGTTGTGTTTGAAACGGTGGTAATTTTAGTTTTAACCGATAGCAATAGAATATAATTTCAATTGTAAATTTTTGTAGATAAATGAAAACAAATGTCTGGGAGCGAAATAACAAGACGCAGGTTCCAATCCCGCATCACCGAAAGACTTTTTTTAATCTACAAAAATTTACAATAAAAATTTCGTCATTTACAGTTAAACAATGTTTAGTCTTTAGTGCAGAGACTAGCACTAAAAATAAAAATGATTCTTAAAACAATAGAATATAAAGGAAACTGAAATAACAATTTTCCGTTACCAGTTATTACCCGTTTCGTAGAAGATGGCGCGGTGAAATTATAAACTCAATAGGTGAATATGCTGACCTTGAACTGAAAGATTCTAATTTTTAACCTATCTGTTAAAAATTAGAAAATTTCAGTTAATGTTTCCTTTAAAAAATATAAATTTTTCATTGCTCCTAAATTTCAGGTTTACTGTCAGCCGGTGCGATGGCGCTTTGGCACGGAGTGGAGTTTTACGAAAAGGAGAAAGTAGTAGGAGAGGAGTTTTACCAGCAGTGGCCAAATGTAAGTTTTATGTCCAGTAAGATTTTACCTACTTATTTAAAATTTCTCCCGATTTTCTCCCAGATGTTGAATCCAGAAGCGTTTCTATTAGAACGAACGATAAAGATGTGAAGACAAGCGTACATGAACGCATATTTACATTACATAAACATATGAAAGTTTCTTAATCGTGTACTGGCTGTTACTTGACTAATATCCCGCTGGGTAAATAAAGATGGTACGTGCCTATTTCACGTAAATTTTACGAATATTTCTGTACTTAGTCACAAAATTTCATATACACATTGAGAATCACTACCGTCGTATTGCCTAAGTCGATCCTCGACCTGGCAAGAAACAGATCGCCGGTCGGTTGCTATGGTGACCGTAGAGCCTATCGTCTGTTGCTATGGCGACGGCGCAGACTTTCGTCTGTTGCTATGGCGACGGCATGCTTCCATAAACGTCGACGTTACAAGTTTCGTTCGTTACTTTCCCGCTGTGTCTAAAACGAGAATCACGACAGGTGTTAAAAGACAACTCGTCGATATGGTACGACTGGTCGTACATACTCGCTTGGCTAGCGGTCGGCGTCTCCTTCGGAAGCTCCATACTGTTCTTCTCGGCGGCCATTTGCCTCGGCAAAGAGAAGCGACGCGAGCAACAGAATAACGTGCAGTACATAATGCCAGGTTAGCGCGCCATTGTGGCGTCGGCGCGTCCGCCATATTGTCGAAATGTGTCGGTGTTTGATTAACGCTTGGCGGTTTTGGATTCACCACGGCTCATTACAGGTTGCGAAGGACTGTTGTAAATTTCTCTCGTTTCCCGGATGCGCGTTGTAAATGCTATATTAATTACCCATGTCTTCGATGTAGGTATTCCCGGTTTAGTGAAAACGAAGTTGTAAAATAGGAATCTTGTTGTAAGTTAAAAAAAAAAAAACAAATACTTTAAGTAAACTGTCTTCTTTAAAACAAATAGTAAATTTTTATTAAAGGCATATTTAAACTATAATCTTAAGTTTGTTATTCGAACCAAGAAATCATTTTATATTTAAAAAGGAACTATTCCAAACCAACAGTAACTTAATCCCAATTGAGATTAATGTATCTCTCTCGTACTAACAAAATGCTTTTCTCTTTCTTTTCATGTTTCTATGAAACGTGGCTACTGCGTATAACGTAACGACCAATCTACGATCGCGGATAAACCCGACTACAAAAAAATAATTGCGTTACATCTTCATATATCTGGTTTACGCCAAATGCAAAACTAACATGCTTCCTACTACTTACAAATAACACTAACTTTGGGATTGTACATACTGAAATACCCAACAATATGGTCACAACATCTTATCTGTACATATGAACAAATATATTACAAACAAATATAACAATTATATACACATAAATTATCCGATGCCGTATATCTTGGTATAAACCAGATATTGCGAGATAATGCTCGCGTTTGGTACGATTGGTCGTACATAGTCGCGTGGTGTGGCGTCGGTCTGTCGCTGCTGTCGGCCATTTTGTTTTCGTCGGCCGCCATTTGCTTGCGCGGCGAGCGAGAAAGGGAGGAGGCTCTTAACATGCAGTATCTCATGCCTGGTAAACAGCTTTCATCATTACAGTCATATTTCGAATAGGAAGTGTTAAATATCTATCTATTGTCATATAAATCATCATTTTATAAAATTCACGCTCAAATTATATTGTAAATATACCAACCAATGCTAACTCGCTTGCAGGGTGCATGCAGTTTAACTGAACCGTTAAACTACTGTATTCTTTATTTGATTGAAGTTATACTTCTTTGGCAGAATTATATTTCATTAGTTAAATAGTCCTAACGCAGTTGTAATCAAATGCGATGTACCTACAGTCATATAATAGACGATTCTGCTATTTCATGAGTTTCCGTCAAAAAAGTATAACTTTATGGCAAACTTACACCAAAGCAATAACTTATTTACTCGTGCTTGCAGTGTACCCCCAGAAGCAGCAGTACGCTTACGCGGGCTACCCGCCGCCCCAGGCGTACCCGGGCCCCTACTACCACGGCTCCCAATACGGGCCCTACAATTACTGAGCACACGACCAGATGAGGGACATTGTGGCGGCGAGCTTCGCCAACGCACCCGCACCGCAGGCGCCCGCGCGCAACCCCTCCCCACCCCGCCCCCCCTCCATCCCCTCGCTAGAGACGTTCAACTCCCACCGCAGACCGAGGCGGCCGAAGCTCGGCGACAAGAAGGTCTACCGGCCCGTACGCAGGCACACGCTCTCCAGAATAGACGAGACCCCGCCTCCTACGCGGCCCCGTTCGAAAAGCCTCCAGGTGTCTACGGACCTCTCGTCGATGCGGCCCATGTTGAGGTCCCGCTCTAACGTGTCCGCGGACACTAGTCGCAGCGTGCCCGTATGCGACCAGAGCGTCGGCACGTTCGGGGTGAGCAGCAGTCCCCAGTACGCCGAGCCCAAAGGCTACGACTCCGCCTCGTCGTACGACCCGCCCGCCTCAATGAGCGACCTCCCCGTCCTCGCCCTAGGGCCTAACCCCTACATCCCCTACCCCGAATACACGTACTACCAAGAAGCCGCCCGCAGGTTGCCTGCTAAGACCAACAACCTCTTTTTAGCGTTCATGTATTAAGGCCGTCGGAAGCGAGACGGTTACGAGTTTCGATCGAACGCCGTATACGCCCATGTTCGTTTTGCACTCGCCTATTGTAAAACATTGTTTATTGCTCGCACACACATGGGCGGCCCGAATCTGGTCGAGCGAATTTCTATTGGCACGTTTTATGAAGGTCCGAAAGGGTCCGGGTGCGTTTGTGTGCCCAAATGGCAGTCTTCACGATGAGCACGCAGACCACAACGTGACCTCGCATTGGACCACTTGGCACGGCTCTACGAAACTCTTAACAGCACCGGTTCCCTCGAGTTTTCCAAACGTGACGTCACACTGATTCAGAAACGCCTCTGCGAACTCGGCTGCCAAACGAAAAGGTACGCAACGAATTAGGTACTTACGTAATTTAGGAGTAAGTCGAACTCCACTCGACTCCGCCATAAATGTATTGGGAGGAACAAATTATTTTTAGCTTAGGACCGTTGTGAGATATTGCGCTGTCAACGTTTTTATGTAACGGCTGAATGTGGAAAAATTTTGTGCCTTTCGAAAATATAAATGCTCACTCAATTACAATATCGTTAGAATAAACATATCCTATAATAGTTTAGCTAATTATAGTTCAATATGTATTCTAGTTTTATATGTAATGTCTATTCAATTTTAAAGTCGTTGTAAGATTTTGTATGGACGTAAATATGATTTGTATATTTTTAGTGTTTTCTCACATACCGACACGGTATGCAATTGTACGTAAACCTGACTGAGGATCGAGATCCGTCCTTCGAATATCGTTCGGAATAATTCTTATAATGCGCTAATTCTTATTCGATCACTTGTATCTTTAGTCCAAACAATATTTCTTTAGTTAGGTTAAGTAATTAGATGTCTGTAAATTTATCTATTATATATTTTATGCAGATCAGGTGTTCTTCTTTATTACCATATTTTCCAATCGAATTTGTATTTAATTTTTTTTTAAATAAAAATTTTAATAATCTGAGGGTTGTTTTTTTTTATACATACAATTTTGGCTGTCCGTCTATTGTATATGTATCAAACAATATATATCTCAAATTCATTTTTATTTATTAAATTACATAAAGACCCAATTACACAGAAACAGAATCTGATTTCTCGTCGAGAACGATAAGTAACATGAGCCAAAAGCCAAAGAAAAAAACGATAAATCTCAAATATAAAACCTTTATTTATCTTTGTACAAGAATATTTAATATGGCGATACTGGATGGAATGGATTACATTTAAAAAAATTATCACATATAACGAGGCATTTCATTATGCGGTATAAAAAGGTTTTAAAAACAAACATTCACAGTTAAATATAAATACATAATGTATATACCAGGTAATTGAAAACCGTTAACTAAATAGTGAAACAATAATTCAAAATAAAAAATCTAAGTAAACGAATATTATGTAAAAAATAAAACATAGGTAGGATGTCTACCATCACTTGTTTTATCAAATAATTTCAAACACGTTTCTCAATCAATTTAAAATTTTGTGGGCTTATGAACATATGAATTTGCACATTGAAATTCTTAAAAAGCATGCATAGCTGGCACGTTACCATCGTTCAATATCGAAAACGAACAAAATACAACACGATCGATAGTTAGGAAAGATGGGATAGATCACAATCAGATGGCTGTATCTATTATTGGTCCGGGATGGGAGAGGGCTTGTTTCCTCTCCTGCACCGCTGTCACCAATTTCCTGTAGGGGCCCAGTGGCAGGCCGAGGGACTTCAGGTCGCTTTCGGTCAGCAGCATGAGGGCGTCCAGGTCTATCTGCTCGTCCTTGAACTTCTGCACGTACTGGGAGAGGCCCCACGCGATCAGGAACCTCTCGAGGGAAGCATACCCAGATTCCTCCACCTCGCCCTCCTCGTCAGATGTTATTGTCGAGCTTCCTGCTTGTTTGAAAATTGGAAAGTACAATAAGTAAGTGTTTGTGTAAGCATTGAATGGCGTACAAATAACAATTACAATAGTTTAATAATTTTGACCGTGGTCAGGTCATGGGCAGGTCCGTCCGGGTAAGTTCCAGGACCACACAGAAATCGGGCTTCAAGTGGAGGTGTTTAGTGGCCACGCACCTACAATCCTCCAATTACGGGTGTTGCAAGTGTCATTGGTGCTTGCTACTTTTACATAATTGATTTTATTTTTAACGATAATCTGCGGGACTCAAATGTGGAGGATACATGTAGATTTTCGCCTCCTGAGGATGTCGACCTTACGGCTTAGCTTACGTAATGGCTAGTGACGCAGACAGCGATAGACATTTTTGATCGTGACTCGTGGCAAAGTTGCTGAGCCGGAGGTTCTTGGTTCGATTCCCACCCCTGACAAGTATTTGTGTGACCCACAGATAATTGTTCCGGATCTGGGTCTTAATTCCCAGGGAGGGGTGAATTCAGCAAGGCGGCTTATCGTATAAAACCTAGGCAAAACAACTTACAACATGATTCACGTGTTGTGCCGACACCATCTAAGTGGGATAAGGGCAGGAAGGACGATGATGACATACATTTATAATCGTACTCTGCTGAGACGATTCGAAAAGGCCTAACTTAGGGTATGAGTTACCTGAATGGGCGGAGTTCCACTCTGCGGGCTGGTAGGCGTGACGAGCAAGGGAGCCCGCCGATCCAATAGATAGATCCTCACCCGGCCCGCCCGCACCAGGCCCACAAGGGGTTGGCAGGGCACTCAAGGTCGCTGTTATCGACCGCCTGCCGAGAAAAGAATGCTTAGTTTGGTCTGTTTGGTGTGTGGAAATGATTCTTGCTCAGCACGCAAGTGCCCTGGCTGCTGATAATTTTATATTTAAATGCTTTTGTGTACCTATATGATAAAAAAAAAGATAAGACCGCAGTTTCTTGCAGGTTCTTCTCAAGACAGGAGTCTAGTTTAGTGAACCGTTGGTTACATAGGAATGGACGTTAAATAAGAATTTAAAATAAGACTTTATTAAATAAAAGAAATTTACTTTGAGATGATGTACCCAGGGGACTATTTTTGTACTGGAAGATATTATTATTTATATTTTTTCAGTGTCTGTAAAGCTACTCGTCTTAATTCACTAGATATTTATTCTAAACAGATGTAACTTTCACTTGCTGTTATTACCCATAAACGCAGTCGATAATAGCGCGAAATTCAACTGATTGTGATATCTAATAACTTGTATGTTAAAGTAACCTCAAGTTTGAGAAATCGCAGCGAAATTAAAATGAAAAGAATTTCTTTAATAACTATAATCATTTCAGTTTAAAAGATACAAATAACATATTGAATAAAGCTTAGTAAAACACAGTTCATTTCAAATGGAGGGCTCGCAACAGCTTCGGTTGTTGCACGAAAGGGCACGTCCGTCCGGGTAAGTACCACGACCTCACAGAAGACCGTAGTGAACGTGACGTAACGCAGAAGGCATTGCGTTTTGTGAGGTAGCCAAGGCCCACTTTATTAAAAGAGGGCATTTGCAACCCTGCGGAGTCCATGTTAGCGGTCATCACTTAACGTCAGGTGAACCGCCAGCTTCCTTGCCGCCTTCACATAAAAAAATATGTCACATGAAAAGCAGAAGATCATCAACTGTCCACAAAGCTGACCTGAATGCCACGCTTCCAAATCCCGGCCTGTCGAATATGCTGGCGGGTTCTTGAAGTAGAACCTCCTGGCCGATACCGCTGTCTTCGCCTTGCGCCGCCAGAAAATCAGGCTGGCTCGCTGACCTGGGGATAAACAGTCGTCAATGCAAGGTTTCAGCAGAACGGTATTACTTCAGTCAATTCTCCGAACATAACTTCAATTTAATTGCATTGGATTATTGTAAGATTGCAAAAACAAACTTCGTTACCCCTTAAAACAATTGAAGGATTTCTGTTGACTGTGGTTATGATACTTTAGGTGAAAAAAGTAAAAACAAGACCAACTAGGCGAAAGATATGCGTCGTAGCTCTTATCGGGGGATGGTCATAAGGAGTAAGCTCCAAAAATATAGTACGTCTTAATCATAGCAGGTACCAGGTGAGCATCCCTTTGTATAAAGACGATTCTTAAGGAGTAAGCTCCAAAAAGATAGTACCTCTTAACCGTAGGAGTACCAGGGGAGCATCGCTTTGTATAAAGACGATTCTTAAGGAATAAGCTCCAAAAAGATAGTACGTCTTAACCGTAGGAGTACCAGGGGAGCATCTGTTTGTATGAAGTCGACCCTTAAGGAGTAGCACGTCGCAACGGAAGCAGGTACTAGGGGAGCATCGCTTTGAATAAATTCTTAAGAAGTAAGCTGTGTAAGTGTGCCGGAAGTCGATGGATACAGGTGGCTGAGGATCGTGTTTTTTGGCAGTCTATGGGGGAGACCTATGTTCAGCAGTAGAATCATACAGCCTGAAATGATGATGATGAGTAAGCTCCAAAAAGGAAGTATCAACCGTAACAGGTAACAGAGAAGCATCGCTTTGTGTAGAGACGGTTCTCAGGGAGAATGCTCCAAAAAGACAGTACGTCGCAGCGGTAGCAGGTACTAGGAGAGCATAGCAGAGGCGTCACCTGGTGAGCGTCCTCTTGTGCTCGGTTTCCGGGAACACGTCGGCCACGTTGGCGCGCTGCTGCGGCCCCGCGCCGAACGTGCCCACGTACATGACCTCGGAATCGCGGCGCAGCCCGCTCAGTGACGTCACCGAACGCCGCCCCGTCCTCTCCACCTCGCCGACCTACACGAGGCAATACGTATTAGCGTATTACTTGAGATCATACGATTCCGTGGCGCAGTTGCCAAGGTATTGGCTTCGGCGTCGGGGACCGTGGGTTCGATTCCCATACGGGACAACTATTTGTGTGACCCACAAATCTGGGTGTTTGTCCGTGTGAAATTTATGTTTGTAAAACGTTGTATAAGAAATAAAATACGGGGCGTAATTTAATGACTTTTTTTATTATTGCTCACGTTCTGATGGTAGTAACAGGAAGGAAGTAGTTTAGTTTTTAATTTATAATCTAACCATAAAGTTGCCAGTAATAGTTTCATGTTTCCCAAACAATATTCATTATATTCTATTTGATTTTGAGGTGTTCCCTGATGTCTCTGGAGTCCAAGGTCAACACAAATCACTATGAGAAATTACTATGAGACCCCAAGGGAACTAAACCGAACCGAAATGAAAAAGATTTTTTAAAATCGTTTTATAAATGACGGGGTTCAAGGGATACCAAACATAAAAAATCATACATCCGTATTGAGAACCTGCTCCTATTTCGAAGTCGGTTAAAAAGATATAAACAGCGCTATGATGTTATTTACTTATTAGCATTGATATTAGCGGCTTTCCGGATCCAAACACGACATTTACATCGTTATAACATAATAATTAGATAATAGACAAATATGATAATTAGTTAATAATTAATCATTCAATTTAGATTACACAATAGATTTGAATATTCATCTAAGTTTGACAAAAGCATTCAATGAAGATATTATGACAATGGTTTTCACGTCATGTAATGCACATTTTCGAAATGACAAGCACGCGAACTATTCGACTTCGAATGTACTATTGTGCATCTCATTTTGGTCATTCACTATTGGAACAAACTACATTTGCGAATTACTTATGAGCGTATACTATCTATGTATTTTTCTTGCAAATGTAAATGACTAATGTAGATACTTATTTTAACTGTTTAGGACCACGCAACATTATTCGCTGTTGCACCAATGGGCAGGGCCGTCCGGGTTTTAGTACCATGAGATAAAGGAGAAATGTTACACTTCTGCGTTTCGTCTTGTGAGTGAAGTACCCGGGGCCCAAATTATTAAACGCTGGCAACACATATGCAACCGGTGTTGCAAATGTCCGTGGGCGGCGGTTATCACTTAACATCGGGGATACCGCTAGCTCGTATACCACTTTCTGACATGAACAAAAAAAAGTGATATTCATGTTAAATCCAATAAAAAATGACACATTTATCTGCACAAATTAATTGTGTAGATACGCACTTTCCATGTAAAAAAAAATGATGTATTTGTCTGTGGCTTTGTTAATTGAGTACTGTACTTTACTGATGAAGATAGTACATTACTCCTTTAACAATTACTCGATTTTGACTCTTCAGTCAATAATGAAATATCAACAATTGTTTCAAATTATGCCGACCTTGAAGTCGTCACTATTAGCGTTGCCACTCCTGGTCAAGGTGCCGTTCCTGAGCTTGCTGGCGAGCGCCTTCTTGTATACCGCGCCGCGGCCCCTCGCTCCAGAATTGACGGTGCCCACTAGAGCGCTGTACGTTGGCCTGGGCTGGTCGTCCGCCAGTAGGTTTCCTACAAACGAAGAGTCTGAATTCGACTACTGGATTTACAACGTTACTGCTTTATCTACTAACTAGCTGATCCGGCAAACGTTGTTTTGTGGAATTTCGTAAAATCGTTTCTTAGCTGACCTCTCGGCGAAAGGAATATTCCTACCAAATTTCTCTCTACGCCTTATGGTTCAAGAGATGTCGTGATATATATATATAGACTATAGACTATATATAGGCTAGCTACCACACTATAGTTAATTTGCATTAATCAAGTGGATGACAATTGAAGTCATCACTTGCTATATTTACGCGAGCATGTAAAATGGCACTATGCTAATTTAACGGATTAAATTTTAATTATTTTATTCGATTAAAAAATAAAATTGAAACGACAAGTTATAACCAACGAACAAATTCTCTAAACGCGTTATATTTGCACTGGATTTTTACAAGGGGAAAAAATCTGTTATCGTGAGCCAATACGAGGTTAAGGTTTCTCTGGTGGATGAATATTTCAATCAGCAACTGACTTACATTAGGCAAGAATGGCGAAATAATAAAATGAAAGTGGACATTTCGTCAGAACCGGTCGCATTAATAATCGTTAAAAATCTTATATGACTATGATGGACATCTCGTTTGCATTTTAAAAAGTAAGACTATAAATTTACAGATGGCCTTTCATTCGACCGGATTCATTAAGCTCCATAAGGCTCGTTTAATATATGCAGTGAATACATAACCCTTAGGCTATGTTCTTGCTGAACGCAAAACTTCGTTCTGACATAAGAACGGCGTGAAGTTACACTTCTGAATTGTTAAACTTCTGCGTTAACTTTATTTAACTCATTTGCAACTCTACGAGTGTTGCAAATGTCCATAGGGGGCGGTTATCACTTAACATCATGTGTACAGCCAGCTAGCTTGCCTCCTAATGACATAAAAAATACATAACATTCGACTCTTGCAACAGGTGCAACAGGAATTTATATTTGAGGTACAATTTTCCGTAAACAAACAAATCATATCATAATCATAAAAAAATACGTCGAATGGAACACGATTTTAAATCCACAATAAATCTATGGCTACATCTTTGGACATGTATAGGACTTTGTATTGGAAAAAGCGAATATATAAAAACATTTACTAGTAGCTTATAGCTATCACATATGACAATTGTTATCTCGTATATTATCTTACTAACCCCTATATACAACTAGCACGTTAGGAATTGCTAGCAATTATTGCTTGTGTCAATTTTAATATAAAAAAAACATGAATTTTTGGCATTGAATAAAACACTAAGGACTATTGTCATTTATGCATTACTCTAAGCAAGAAAGTGTAAGAATCTCGTGTGGACTATTACCCTTATATTTCATTTATTTGATAATACGTAATTTGGTTAGATTTAATGATGTAAATATTGAATATAAAATAAATTTTACCCGTTTAAAATTGTCCCTAATTACAATGAGTCATTAAGAGTAAATAATATGTTCCACTGAGATATTTCGTTGATCACGATTTAATTTCAATATAAGAAAACGAGAAAATATTAATAATAATTTAACTTTAAATTAGGTTAAGTTTTGCGGCTGATGACCAGAGAGATTTCTCGCTCAAAGATTAAAATCATTAGTTATGTTTCACTTGAGTAGTTATGATTCAAACTATTCAGCAAGAAAATGCAGTAAGCTTTCTAGGCACAATGCCGTCCGGACTAGGTCTATTATTTAACATATAATTTAACATATATTAACATATAATTAGTTAATAATTAATCTCGGAAATATTTTTATTTTTTTGTGTTAAATAAACTTCTTTAATTTATATAAAGTTAAAGGTACATTTATAAAGATTTATCTATTATCATTTATCTATCAAATGAAAATAAAACTTATAGTTTCAAGTGTCCAACGTATTGGTGGGTTAGTTCCATTTCGCTTACAAAAAGTTGCTCAAGACAGATAGATAGGAGAGCGAGTTAATTTTCTATTAGACAACAAAAGTATCCCACCTTGACTAGTCGATCTCGTCATCTTCTGTTTTATCGCCATCAGCACGTTGCTGGGCCTGTGGGGCATCGTGGACACTTCTTCCGTGTAGCCCTGCTCCCATTCCTTGGCGAGCTTCTTCAACTCCTTCTCGGCCATCACCTCCGCCTTGCTCTGCCTCTTGGCGTACTGCTTCTGCATCTTCTCGTGGTCTTTTCTCGCCTTCTCTTTCAGCGATTTCGCCTTCTTTCTGCAATAGGGTTGTTTTTACCATAAGTGGTGCCCAACGTGCCATCCCAACGTAAAGTAAAACTCTACAAACAAAAAGTTTTGATTACTTCGAAAATTAGATTTCACGATCTTAGTCTTGTACAAATTTGTTCTGTGCAAGAAATAAATAAACACTACGTATAGGGAAGCAATATTTATATAGTATCAGATATTAAAGTACTGTCATATATACAATGAACGAATGAATAGAAAAAAAAATGTTGGAATAATTAATACATTTTTCATCAAATGTTCATTAACTGTTCAAATTTCGATCACAGGCTGAACACTAGTTATATTTGAAGCGTATTTCAAAACCTAGAAACAAACTGACGATAGCGAGTTGAGCTGATTTCGAAAACGTTGCGAGAATAATCACCTGCATTCCTTTCTTTGTTTAGAAGATATAGGAATCACTTTTAAACTGTCGTTAATTGATGGTTGCTCCACCTTTTTTTAGTTGTTATGTAATCATGAATCATCATCATCCTGCGCATAACCCATCCCTCAAGCGGGGTCAGCACAACATGAGAATATAGTTGTTAGTGCTTTTGGCTATCTTCAACCCTCTACACGTCACATAAACACTCGCTCCTTGTGAGAATCGAACCCACGAGCCCTGGCACCGAAGCCAATAGCTTGGCAAGTGATACACCAAGTCTTCATAAATAGTTCTCCTTAAAAAAATCAATGGGAAGAGCCTTTTTGTTCCTCATTTTCATATCACCCGTCATTAAGGCAAATCATACTAGAAGCGCATGGATGCAAGCCGCTATCGAAGAAGTGGAATTCAATGGGGGAGCGGCCTATGTTCGGTGGACGTCCTACGGCTGATATGATGATGATGATGATACTAGGAGCGCAGATGTTGGAAAGATCGATGGTAAGTGTCTCTTGGTTTCTCATTTTCATATATTATTATTTCATTTCACCCAACATACTAGGAAAATCATACTAAAATAAAAGGAAAATCATACTAGGAGCGCAGACGTTGGTGCGTGCCATACTCACTTGTCGGTGTTCTCCAGTTTCCCAGTGACCTGGTCGAGGAAGCGCAGAATGTCGTCGCGGCCGTTAATCGCCGCCAGCTCTTGGGCCGTGTGGCCATCCACGTCCATCGCGTAGACGTTCGCGCCGAAATTGACCAAGAAGGTCACGCACTCCTTGTGACCTCTCGCGGCGGCGAGGTGCAGGGCCGTGTTGCCGAAGTAGTCCGCCTTGTCGGGCTCCCCGCTGCAGAATCGCACCGCTATGCGTGAACTTTACGGACTGCCGGAAGTGCAATTTCTTGCAAATGAAATGGTCATCTGGAGATGGTGTTAAGCCACTAGAAAATTTAGATGACTCCGTGGCGCAGTTGCCAAGGTATTGGCTTCGGCGTCGGGGGTCGTGGGTTCGATTCCCACACGGAACAACTATTTGTGCGACCCAGATAGTTGCTTCGGATCTGGGTGTTTGTCCATGTGAATTTATGTTTGTAAAACGTCCTTACAACACAGGATAATGTTATCCTAAAGCAAGAGTAACATTTTTTAACAACGCAAAAAATATATATATCTCAGGGATAAAACTTAGGGACTTATAAATTACGTTGGTAAATAGATTCCCCACCTGGCCACATTGACGGAACCTTTGAAGGTTCTATTACGGCAAAACATCATCCGGGAGAAATTCCAATATCACAGGAATTTGGAGTGAGACACAATACCCGGTTCCCTGCCTGTTGGATGGATCATCACTGTTGGGCTTATGAACCTTTACAGATCCACCGGACTTGAGGTGGCCGGGCGCTGCGGGCGCCTAGCCTGGTAAGTCGATTTATGGGTGACTAGGCTCAAGGGCCTTAGAGAACTGGGCCCGGGACCTCGGCTTGAGCTGTCACGGGTATTGAACCCGTTTAGCACTACGAGTCGAGGGTGCCCCAGAGGGCCGGACCTCAGCTCGATCGGTAGCTATAGTCTGACTGGGAATACCTCCCCCAGACGAAACGTTAAAGTTAAACTTTAAGTTACGTTAACTAAAAGTTACAACTTCACGCCAGTTTTCTGTGCGACCGTAGTTCTTCCCGACGAGCCAGACTATTCATGCATCAGTAGAACCTTTGGATTTTCAACAGGAAGTTAATAGACATTACTGTTATCTCACTCTCTTTATGGTTATGTGAGGAAATATACTCTGCTGACTAGTTCAGGCGGTTGGTAATTACTGTGGTACGGGCACGCAGCAGCTTCTGTTGTACGAATGGGCAGACTAATCCGCGAAAGTACCACGGCTTCACAGAAGACCGGCGTCATGTGGAACTATTTTACTTTCGCGTTTCGTCTGGTGAGTGAGGTGACCCGGGCCACTTTATAACGGATTGGAAACGCCTCTACAGCCTGTCAGGTGTTGTCAATGGGCGGCGGTAGTCACTTAGCATCAGGTGAACTATAAACACACATAAAAATGTTTCTCTTCTCGGCGCAGAACTTTAATTGGAACATGCCGGGTTGGGTTGATACGAGATAGTATGACAGTTTGCAGATACTACGTACCTATACACGACGTTCTTAACGTTATGGGTGATAGATTTGTTTATAAATGATTAAGTACTAGCTGATAGAATATGTGTAACAGTTGGACTAACAGAATGCAGCTGTTATAAATAGGGAATTTCCATTTTGAAAATTGTTTATCAGTGTTCAATAGGCAAAGAAAAAAACCTCCTCACAAAATTTTATTCCGTTTATTTTAATTCGAAAACATGACTAAAGAATGACCAACCCGAACGAAATAACTCTCTTATTCAATAGCAATAACCAATTAAATGTCGATTGTCGCTATATAAAACTATTGTATTAATCTATGACGAACAAGTTCTTTTCATATCAGTTAGATAGCGAATATCGTAGAATTTAAGTCCGCCTCAAAAATAAGTCTCGTGCAAATGTTTAATGGATGAATGATCAATTAAAATGTTATAAATGTACAGAAGAAAGCTCGAAGAGTCCTGTTAAAACCACGATGATATGACCCCACGTAGCGGGTTAACGTGCCAATTCAGCGTAAAAAGCGCTAAGTCACAGCGTTGAAAGTGAAATCTCGAGCAACAAGGCGGCTGAGACACGGACGACTTCGGTATCCGTCCGACTCAACTTGATTGAGATTTTTTGAAAATGGGTTGAATAGAAAATAGTAACTAATTTGTCAATAACTGTATTAATTTCAATGTTAGATTATTTCTTTCTGAAATAAATTTCTTTCTGAAATAAATTTCTTTCTGAAATAAATTTCTTTCTGAAATAAATTTCTTTCTGAAATAAATTTCTTTCTGAAATAAATTTCTTTCTGAAATAAATTTTAATAATCGATCAGGAAATGAGTGTCCGTGATGATTTAACACCAAACCAAATAGATAGAAAGTGACAGGAATCTAGCCAGAACATGATTTTTTGAGTCAAGATGGATGAACCAACAGCACCATCACCATTTATTTGCAATTTAATGGAGCTGCCTATAGACAGCTATTCTAGACAAGTAAAACTTTTTATTAACAAAAAACAATACCGACTTCAAATATCTCATTCATGAACCGAACGCAATGCTATAAGGATTTATAAAATCGGTCGATAAATGCCGGAGTCCTGAGGTAGCAAATATAAAAAAAAAAAGTCGGTTGAGAAGTCACTTTATAGTCTCAAACCATTAACAAAAATGCGTTGCTTTTAACAATAAACTATAATTTACGACGAACTACTCCGAAACTTTATCTAACAAACAGGTTTGTCGCTTCTATTAACTCTATAAATACTACTACTGTTATCAGTATCGAATGGAAAAAATCGAAAAATACGGAACTAAATCACACAGATAAGTAAAATAAGTTACGTGCAGTCTGATATCCAGTTGAGTAAAGGAAAATAATAAATGTTCGAATCGTGGAATAGACTTTCGTGTGCACCGGCCCTTATTTAAATAAAAGCCGACCAGTGCAGAGCTAACAGGCGACATTACACGGCCGACGACAAAAAGCGAAGAAATGCTAAATACAGCCACGGGAAATTCATTGTTTCGTCACCAGCCACGTGCGAAAGTGGCGGTGGTGATATGGGATTGTGTTCAGCCGTCCAACGCAGCCACGTTGATTAGTATATCCTCTGAACTATGTAAAAGTAAGATGCGTGAGCAATCCCCGCCTTAGTTACAAAGATATAATTATAGTATCGCTTTCACTGTTGTTTCGCCTTTGTTTTTATTTTGTTCTTGCACTGACTCTCTATGACTACGTAAATGTCGTGTTGCTGTATGAGAGACGCATTTAGGGACGTGAATTATCATTCAAGTCGCATCATTTATTATTAAATATGCGAAGTTCTGTTGAAATTATTTATACATATTTACTACAAATAACCGAATTTTATTCTAGTTAACTCTAAGTACTCTTGCTAAACCTAAACTATAGGATTAGATTAGTTTAATGACTTATTTCATATATTTTAGGTGCAAGAATAAGATAACTACTGGTATAACAACCAGTTGATTGATTTTCATTTTCTATTAGAAATTAAAAAAAAAATAGTACTAATTTAGTATTATACATTAACTTGCTGAACTGGTCAACGTTGTATTGCCATAATTTTTCTGAAAAATACCAAATAATGTTTGGGGTTGACCAACCCGTACTGAGAGGTATGTCACTAAAATATATGAAGACTGATTCTCAGTCTAACCAAATTAACATATAAAATTTCATAAAAATCGATCAAGCCATATCGAAGGAGTATGACGACTATCATTGTGACACGAAAAATGTACATATATTACATTAAGTCTGTCTGTCTAGTTGAAGCGTTTTACAATATAGGGATTTATCTTTCCTTCCCAATTATTTGTAGATCATACAACCTATCAACGGAATCAATCCCCCCGAGATAAAAAAGCCAACCGTTTCACTACTAAAATTATGTCTAAACACTCGAATTTTCTAAATGTTTACGGAAATATATCTAGTTACAAATATACAATAGTGATTAGTGAACACGATAGTTTATCTTCTACACGTTATAACCATTGCCGATACAAATTGACGTGTTTACAACAGCTTTGCGCACGGCTAAACCTCGAGAGGACTTAATACTGCAATTAATGAATATCTGCTGTTTATCAAACGCTTCTGATGTGCGTTGAGAGTTCATCGGAAACGATAATTTGACTAATTTTGATTTGTTTTGATTGCAGTTCCGAATCTGTTCCGTTCATATCAATGCCACATATATATATATATATATATATATAGATATATATATATATATATACGTAGTAGCTTCGGCTGTTGCACGAATGGGCTTGCCCCTCCGGGTAAGTACCACGACCTCACAGAAGACCAGCGTAAAGTGGAAGAATGACAAATACTTTCGCGTTTAGTCTGGAGAGTAAGTAGGAGAGGTGGCCGGAGCCCAATTTTCAAATGGTTGTCAATGCATCTGTAACCCTCAGGTGTAGCAGATGTCCATGGGCGGCGGTATTCACTTAATATCAGGTGACCCGTCAGCTCGTTTGGCAAATTTTCGCATAACATATATTTTACTGTACTGTTCACTTGTATCTTGTATTAACTGATGTTTTTGCTTTCAGTCCCGAGACTATTAAAGCTTCATCTGACGCAGAACCGGTGGGCTAGCCAGAACCCACGGGTTTGGGCCCTCCGCTGTGGGTAGGGCCGCGCATGTGGTCATGCGTGCGTTTAACTACGATATGTCATCTAAGGGCCATCGAAGTTGCGGTGCGGACCGAGCCCCCAATGGCCGTCGACTGCGTTTTTAGCTAATCGGTGGCTGGGGGCGGTGAGAACCGCCCTGGAACGCGGGTGTACCTTGTGTACGCGTTGTGTTGGTCTCGCCGTGCTCGGAGGCGAGGGCGAACTATTGTGTTTGTTGTTACACTAGCTGTGGGTGTAGTGTTATCCGGCGGGACCCCCGGCGGTGGGTCCGGCGTATCTAAGTCCCCTTCCTCGACCGGGTCGATTAGGACGTTTCGCGGGCGACGCTTGTTGACGTTCGCGTTTGTGTCGGGTTGGTAATTTGCTGCGCTTACCACCAGAGGGTTGGGATGATGTTCGGCTCTATCGAAGAACCGTTTGGTCAGGTCTTTAAAATATTCGCGAATCGTCGGGAGTCTGCAATCGCTGTGCAGATCGACGTTGCCTTGATACCACTGCGCACCGGTTGCACAGCGGATGAACTTATTTTGTACTATTTGCAGCTTGTACAAGCGAGTAGGGTGCGTGTGGGCGAAGATCATGCATGCATAGGACATAATAGGTCGTACGCAGGTCTTATATAATAATAATTTGTGCCTTAAGGGCATTTTACTTTTAGCGTTAGTTAAATTGTGTAGCCGGCCGGAGACGAACGCGGCTCTATTACGAACGTTATTAATGTGCGTAGTAAATGACATACGCGAGTCGAATGTGACTCCTAAGTATTTGACCTACTGTTCACGCAACAGTCCTGTTGTACGAATGGCCAGGACCACGACCTCACGGAAGACCAGCGTGAAGTGGAAGTATTATAATTCTGCGTTTCGTCTGGTGAGTGAGGTAGCCAAGGCCCCCTTTATTAAAAGATGGCAACGCGTCTGCAACCCTACACCTGCGTGTTGCAAATGTCAATGGGTGGCACTTATCACTTAATATGCAACCGTGAACAACTCACTTGTCACCCTGCCTCACTTGTCACTTTTATCTAATAAAAATACACTGTTATTCACATGTAGGCTATGAGTAGTGTTTTCAATTTATTTAATATAAATTTTATTTGTTAAAATATATTAGGATTTGTTTAAAATTTTCGTAAAACACAAAGGGGACATAATGAGTAAACCCAGCTACATAACCCATTGACTAATTCATAATAAAATTCTAGATGATTCATTAGTATGAGCGAATTGATAAAAGCAATATTTTTAAAACTATATCATGCAGTTTACAAAATGGTATGAAAATGGATACAGTGTACAAAAACATTTAAGGTGGTGTAAGATGTAATTATATATAGATGATTTTACATATTATTGTATTATCTGTAAGCGACTTCATCGCTAACTATAAAGAGGTTTCGCCTTCAGTTATTTTACGTATAAAGCACGGAAATTAAGTACTTCTTCATACGTTATCCGGTCAGGAACACATCTGCAACCCGTTAGAGTTGTAAACGCTCGAGCAGCGGTAATCACTTAACATCAGGTGAACTGCGAGCTGAAAAAAACATACTAAACTGTGCATATAGCATCTGAGATGGCGATGACTCTACAACAGTAATAGACTTCCACGCAACAGTTTTCACTGTTGCACGAATGGGCAGGTCCATCCGGGTTACCACGACCTCACAGAAGACCGGCGTAAAGTAGAAGTGTTACACTTCTGCGTTTCGTCTGGTGAGTAAGGTAGACGAGACCCACTTTATTTAAAGGTGGTAACGCATTTGCAACCCTCCGCGTGTTGCAAATGTCTATGGACGGCGGTTATTACTTAACGTCAGGTGAACCGCCAGCTAGTTTGCCAGTTTTTCACATAAAAGAAAAGACTTAAGACGTACCCCCTTCCACACAGCAGCCGCAGCGCCTCTATGTGACCTTCGAAGGCAGCCCATAGCGTGGGCGTCATTCCCGACTCATCCTTGTTGTTGCACTCTTTCCTCGTGGCCTCCCGCAACACGTCCAACAGGCCATCCTTAGCAGCCCTGAACAAAGACGATAACTGTTGAATAAAAAGTCAAACGCTTTCATGACATAAAGCGCAGGGCACAATTCATTAAAATATCACTATAAAATGGTTTAATGATTTTAATGAATTGTGGCCTGAATTCTCGAATGAAGAGCGAACGGTGGTCTGTTTGCTCTTTCGGGGTAGACTTCAAGGTTACAAAATCAACTTGAAAGATTATGAGCATGTCGTTCATACAAATAATCGAAACAGTAAAATTCCTGCATCATTCCACACTAGCGAGATTTATCATGTATTTCTATGAACTTCGTAAAAATAGCACCGTTTGAAAATTTACGATCTCAAGTGCATGACGGAAGTAAAACATTAAAACATGTAACTTCCTTCAATACGTTCGATGATGACAAACAATTACTCATGACGATGAGCATCGGCCATGAAACAATAATTTCCATTTCTTTTTTGTATAACTGTTGTACTGTGCGTTGAGTCGTCAGCATCGTGCGGTAACTCTTTACAGTTATTACAATTATTTGGAAAGCGTGCACATAATTATAAAATATGAAACAATGAAAGAACGAAATTTCGTTTGACAAACACAAACTGTAGTATGCTCAAATCGTACAAACATAATACAAAACGTGAACTTGAAAAGTGAAAAACAATCGGCAGATAGCTTGCTACAATAATTTGTGGTTAGAAAGAAAAATAGTTAGTTATGAATATTAAAAAAACCGTTGCGCGGCGTAACTTTCACTGCGTCGGTGGTTAGTTACGCAGTCAACGTGTGAAATGCTCTAATATAGTTCAGTTATATTTTGACTGCGCAGAACGTGTGATTGGACAACTACAGGGCAACGGTTAAAACTTACCTAATAAATGAAAACCGTTTCCATTTGTGAAACCATTTATGAGTTTTGTCGGACATTTTAAGGAGATGGAAATCTCATTTCAAGTTCAATGGAAGAATCATTCAAGTTTTATTAATTGATCAGGTACTTTGGCATTAAATGTATAACTGCCTGTTACTCAACCACGTAGCCTTGTCTACTCCATGTAGCTTAGAAGGTAGCCTATAACGACTATCCATTTCTAATAAAGTCTATGCAATAGAAGTTTATGGACTACAGGAGCATGGAAGATCATTAAGGATTAATTAAACAACATTTCACTTTATAATAACACAGTTTGATTTGAGTGTAACACAGGATAGATTTCGTTTTGATACATTTCATTACAATTTATTTTGGCAACTTCATGAACACGAATTGGTAAATCGCAATTGAGCCACTAAAAGAACAGCCATTAAGGTCTTAAAATCACAAAAAAATTATTTAATATTTGTTAACTGCTAATTGGCGTATTGCCATATAAAAGTGTGGCTGTGATATTTGCCAATGTTACGATTTATACGAGTTTACACGTGCCACTTCCTGAACAGAAACACATACTGAAACTTCACAAACGGAGGTAATAAAGGCAATGGAAGTTTCTGGACATAATTTTTACCTCAAAATCGATCGTATCATTGTATTTGGTATCTTAAATTAGGTTTCGATACCATCAATATCGATTATTTTTGTAATCAACTCATTGCGGTAATGTTTGAAGTATTTACATTATCTATTATAAATGGTACCATGATCTCTATATTTGGTAAACTTTATATAGTTTGTACTGACTAAAAAACCTAACATTTCTTGACATTCATTGTAATGCTACGTTAAGAAAAAGTGTTTTAAATTGTTTTATACTTTCGGAAAAGATGACAAAACATACAAAGCAAAAATTTTTTTGGGCTTGGAAAAAGACGACAAAACATTTGTATGTTTTTTGGTCTGAGAGAGTTCACGATTGTACGAACAGCCTTGGATCGGTGAAATAATTATGACGTCGTTAATTTTAATTTTCTTATAATAATTTAAATTTTCTTATGAACAGTTTGAAAGGCCATACATCTCATACTTATCGTTGCGGCCGGTCACTAGAGGGATGGTTCGTTTCTCGATCAAAGGTTAAGCAAAACTACTCAGCGTGGAAATGCATCTAGCGTTCTTGGCACCGCGATGTGTTGACTAGGTTTGTTAGATGACATGTCAATTAGTTAGTATTTAACATCGTAAAGTTTTTTTGTAATAAATTTTTTTCACCCGAACAATCAACATGAACACACATATAGAGGATAACTTTTTAAAATTGTATTAAAGATTTACATTCTTTAAACATCAATATTTAACGAGTTATCAAATTTTCCAAAACAAACAATTTTAGAACATCTTACGTATAAAACTTTAATGTTAAGTTCATTTGTAAAGGTCACAAAGCATATGAATGGGTCGAATGAATTCAAAAGAGACAAAACATACTGTAAGAGATATTTTTTTTTTTAAATATGGATTTTTTTAACGTTAATACTTTTATGATTATTGGCAAGTAGCGTTAGACGTGTGTTCATTTATTGTCGCGGTGGTAAAGACTTCTCTTTTTATAGAGACAAATTTCTAAATACATTTCCGGTATAGATTATGAAAGCATTATTGTCAACGGCAGGGGGCAATGAGGAAATCGAATCAGCGACGACTATTGTCAGTGACGTAAGTATTAGTCCCGTGCGGGATTGAACCAGCACCCGCTGATCAGCGGTAAATCGATCAACCACAGCTCAAGCGAACATAACAAATAAACAGAACACGGCTACAGAAGTTGTGGCTCGACTTTTGCGTTGGTAAAAATTAACATTTTAAGGCATTACTCAACTATGCCTGTAAATTGCGAACGCAGATCTACCAGTAATTGAAGGCGGTGAATTTAAAAAAAAACGATTTATCAACACGCATTAAGATTATGCCAACGATAACAATTACGTAGTTAAAACGACGCGCCTGCTCGATTAGGATAAACATTATTGAGCGCATAATAAACACTCGATATCACAACCCGTTTTCTGTATATCCCAATAGCCGACAGAAAGGAGGAACAAAGACTTGATCGGAAATCTAATCTCTTCAAATAGTGTTGAGAGTCTTTTGTTATTTCTAACAATTTGCTTATGTAATTGCGCCGTGATAGGTTCACACAAGATTAATACAACTTTTTGGTTGTTCCTTAGTCAGCGTTTTTGAATGGACTAAAGTTAAAAGAAACGTGCGTGTCCTTAAGTATCCACTTAAGAAGTTATACTTCGTTAGCGTAACTAAAGAAAAACAACTAAAAATTATATCCGTAGTGCTAGTAATACTCTTTGTTTGTGAAAAAGACATTAAATAACTTGGAATTATATGTAAATGTCGAAAAGTGGCTATTGTTTGCCATTGGTCGCTTTGCAACCAACTTCATCATGTCGCTGTTTGGCTGTTTGTGTGTTTGTCGGTGCGAGCGCGAATAGTAAGAATTTTATTCTAATAATTTTTTTACAAACGCGCCAAAAAAAGTATAACTTCAAAGTCTATAAATGTTAGTAAAAAGTGTTACATAAAAATATAGTATTTAAATTTAAATTATAGGACACATCGCAAACATAGGGGAGAAATATTTAGCGAAATAAAGGAGATACATCCCCCCCCCCGCCGTTTATTGTCGATTAGAATTCGTAAAAACGTCATCATGTTAAAATTAAATCAACAGTGATTTGACATTTCTTATAGACTGGATAGCTCAGTGTCCGGATGCTCGCTTTTTTCGCGAGCAACTTGTGTTCTAATCCCGGTGCAAGCACCAATGAAATAGTTTGCAATTTTAAGTGCTGACTTATCACGTGCTCAGGGATGAAGTAAAAAATCGTGAGGAAGCCTGCATATTTTAAAAATAATAAATAACAATAAAAATATTTCGAAGATATGTGATATGTGATATGTCTATCCGCAGTTGGTGCCGCGTGTTGAACTGTGCCATGACACTCTCTGCATAGAGGAGGTCTTTGCCCAGCTGTGGGATATATATACTTTTCTTCTCAAAATTCTGTCAGCGTCATATTAATAAATCTTAAAGACTAGACTTCACAAATAAACTAAACTAGCAGTAGTGAAATTTTCAATTAGCTAATGGTAGCTAATTACCGTCTCTGTGTAGCCATCTGCGTCTTCTTAATACAGGTGCGGCCGTTATTGGCTTTTGAATGATATTATGTTTCTAACATGTTCCTAACTCTATGAAGCCATTGTTGTGCAAAAAGCACAATTAGTGGTGCAACTGCCTGGCAACCCGACACCTGGCCGTTGCAACAACAAATCGATACATCGATAACAGCTTTGCGTTGTTCAAAAATAGTTTGTAAACCAACTAGAATAGAGTCTGATATCGAATGAGGTCCAGCGCTTTTTGTGAATCTACCCTCTTTACTCGGCGCAGGCGAGCGTGGAAGTGTTTTGAATACACAGTTGTTGTTGCGGTGACAGTTCGTTTTTTTTTTTTGGGTTTTATGAAAAATTATACAAATGTTTATATACAAATTATATCATTAACAAATTGATTTCTTGTCTTGTAAAAAGGGATAAAATCCGTTAGATCGTTTCATCGAACCATATTATTAAAACGCTAGTACGCTAGTTACTAACATGACATTGATTCTCTACGAACTATGGTGTCAAACTTCTGCGTTTCGCTTAGTAAGTGAGACAACAGGAGCCCATTTTTAAAATGGGCAACGTATCTGCAACCGTACGGGTATTGCAAATGCCCATGGGCGGAGGTTATCAGTTAACATGAGGTGAACCGCCAGCTCGCTTGCAATGTCACATAAAAATACTGAATTAAAACGACTGACGAAAGCAAAACTGAAACCGGTTTTCAAAACAGTAATATATAATAGTATAAATCGATTTGTTAGCGTTTTTGTACGGGCAAATCTTAGAAACGCTTCCTTTTATTTTACTTTAACGGATGAACTCGATTATGGCGTAGGCCTTTATGAATGAGAATAAGTTTACTGACAAACAGAATTACAATTACATTGTGCATTGGAATCGCACTAAACAAAGCCTGTCATGTGGTTGCCAGTTACCATTGCCATCAACGAGT